CATATATATCTCCAGACAGCTATTGAGAGGCTGGGGATTTAGCTCAGTGGCACCGTGCCTTACAAGCACAAGGTCCTGTAAAAAAAGGAACCAGAATAGATACAGAGAAAGCTTATGGAAAAGAGTGAATGGGGGGATTTATATTCACAATGAGCTAGTTTACCAAATAAAGAAACCAGGGGGTAAAAGACAGTGCCCATTCAACTGAGAAGCAGCATCCCATGACCGTTTAACTTGGTAACAAAAGACAAGCTTCACTCACTTGAAGTGATCTTGTAAGGAGACATTAAAGTCAAAGGCATCTCCCCGATCTGTGAAGCCAATGCCAATGAATGCACTGCGCCCTGAGAAAAAGACAGGAACACAGAATAGGAAGTGCTCCCTGTGACAACTTCCACCCAATGAAAATATATCAAGCCGGGTGTGGTGGCACACGCCTATAATCCCAGCACTCAGGAGGTTGAGGCAGGAGGATCACTGGGAGTTCAAGACCAGCCTGAGCTACATAGTGAGTTCCAGGTCAGTCTCAACTACATAGTGAGACCCTTGTCTCAAAAAAAAAAACCAAAAAAGAAAAAGAAAAGAAAATATATCAACCTAACTAGATAAAAGTCTGTAATGGTAAAACATCTTCTTATAGATCAGGAGTTGGTAAGTTACATACAACCCATGGTCAAAACCCACCACGGCTTGTTTTTGTAAACAAAGTTTTATTGATACAGTCACATCAATCTGGTTATATACAATCTACAACTATTTTCAAATTGCAATAACAACACTAAATATAGTAGTTTCAATATACACTATATGACCCACAAACCTAAAATATTTATTGTTTATCTATCTCTAGTTACCAGCCTCTATTACAAAGTATGAACAAATGATTGAGTTATTGCCCTAGAAAGATAATTGAAGACAGTCCCACTAAAACTACCATAAATAATAAATGAGCAAAATGTGTTAATTCTTTTGACAGGCATTACCAAAAGTCCTATGTATTAATTACTACATCTTAAAACTTGCGTTCACATCTATTACAAACAACATGTTAATCCTCTGTCAGCAACTACAACAACTCTGAAGAAAGGGAAAGAAAATTTATTAAACAGAAATAAGAGATGCAATAAGGACACAGTTTTATTAAAGTGCAGTACATTAACTATTTCCCTAAACTCATCCCATTTAAAATCCCAGACCCCTTACCAGTGCCATCCTGGATCCTGATTACAAAGTAACGGCTGGAATCTGTCACTGTCTCCACAGCAATACCAGGATATTGTTCTACTGGTGCCTGAGCAAAGAGCTCCCCTGACAGACAAGAAAAAGAAGCTCTTGGAGCAAAGGAAGCAAAAACTAGAATACTAATTAACAGCTATTTCCATTCCAATCACTAAGCTGCTATAAAAGCACACCAAATCAATATCCTTGATACATGAGGGTCCCCTGTACTTTACCTGAAACTTTATCTTCAAGTTTGATATAGGCAGTCTTCCCTTTGGAGGTGATTCGGAGGCGACCAGTCCAATCAGGCTGGTCTAATTTCCAGTCAGATGCCCTAGGACAGGAAAATGGGAAGCCTCAGGTGCGTTTCAGTACACTAAAGCCTTCTCAGAATCATTTGCCACACTTTATTCCCTTGTCCTGGGTTACCTATTCTTCTTACATAGTAGACAACAAGAATAAATCATGATCTCCTTATATACATATGTCATTTGCATGTAGTCCAAAGGAGTGAAAATCAGTACTATTACTGGAGGATTTTAGTCTAATAAGTCTAAAAACATGTAAAAGTACAAATAAAAGAAACTAAAATAAAATTTATTGGACCTGGAGGAGTAGTTCATTACTAGAGAATTTTCCTAGCATGTATGAGGCTGTGGATTCAATCTCCAGCACAATAAGAAAAAATTTTAATTAAAAATTTTAAAAATGAAATTTTTCACAAGAAAAAATGTGAAAATAGAAGGAAAAATGGAAGCTTTTGTACACAGGGAGGAGAGGGGGCTTGAGGGGATTAATGGGATAAAAAAATTTAATTTAAAAGAAATTTCTCATAATGCCATTTTCATACTGTACATGATATTCTACATAATGATGCTTTATTGATCAGGTAATGACAAAGTCTACCTACTAACTGAAATATTCAGGGTCAAAATCACTAAACATAATATCTTTCACTGAATTCAACCAATATTTATAGTTTTGTTTTGTTTTTTTTAATTCTTTTCAGTGTTGGGAATTGAAACCAGGGCCTTTGCATTGAGCTACATTCCCACTCCTTTTTTATTTTTATTTTGAGACAGATTCTCACTAAACTGCCTGTGACTAAGTCATAAACACTGTTCTAGACGCTTAGGATACAACAGCAAACAAAACATTCCTCTACTTGTGAGGTTTACATTCTAATAGAGAAACAGATAATAAGGAAAACATAATATATAACATAATTAGTATCTTAGAAGGTTATAAATACTAAGGTAAAAAGGAAATGAAGAGGCAGGTAAGGAAATGTGGGAGAGCTGGGCAGCAGCATTCAAGAAGAAGGTCAGGGAAGGCCTCCCTAGGAAGGCGAGATAAGCACAAAACTGAAGAGCGGGGCCGGGGATTTAGCTCAGCGGTTCGGTGGCCTGCCTTGCAAGTACAAGGACCCGAGTTCAATTAAAAAAAAAAAAAAAAAAAAAAACTGAAGAGCAAGTGAGAGGATTACCCACATTTATTTACCTGGGGAAACTCTCTCTGCACAGGAAGTGGCAAGCGCAGGTGGGACCGAGGAGGGAGCATGGCTGGCATCAAGGAAACTACTGTGCTTAGAACAGAGTAAGAAACCAAGTAGCAAAGGTAACAGCGTGGCTACACAATCGGCCTTGTAGGCCATGAAAATAACTTCACTTTTTACTCTGAGTCAAAGGGGTTTTAAGCAGATGTGTAACCTCATCTCCCTTATATTTATAAGGATTATTTTGTCTGCTGTGTAGAAAACAGCTGCAGAGACAAGATGGCTACAGCAGGAAGATTAGTTAAGAGGCTGCAGTAGTAATCTAGATGAGTCATGATGATGACTTAGAAAAGATAATACCAGAAGTTGGATAGGTTCTGGATGTATGTAAGATAAAAGCAGCAGAATTTTTAATAGATTATGTAGGTGTGTGGCACAAAAGAAAAAATGAAGTCAAGGATGACTCCAAGGTTTTCAGCCTGAGCTAAAGAGTTGTCAATAATTGAAACAAAGGCCCTATGTGGAATATAGCTAGGAAGAAAGGTCCAGGGTTCCATTCTGAATACACTGAATTTGAGATATCTAGTGAATTTTCAAGAGAAGACGTAGGATATGAAAGTGAATATGCAAGACAAGACCAGAGTTCAAGAAAGACATCTGGAATGGATATACAAATGCCCATGGAAACATTAGAACACACTGAACACTTATAATCTGTGTGTACATGAATTTGAATGAAATATAAAACATTACTTACGACCAATTTTATAAAACCCTGCATTTGTGACTTGGCTGTTTGTTGAGTCAGAGTCTCTATCTATAATTCAGACTGCCTTGAACTCAGTGTGTAATCCAGGCTGGCCTTGAACTCAAAGTGATCCTCCTGCCTCAGCCTCCCAAGTGCTGGGATTACAGGCATGCGCCACACCTGGCAATTCCTTTACTTCTTTTTTTTTTTTTTTTTTGGTACAGGATTGAACTCTGAACTCAGGACCTTAAGCTTTTGAGGAAGGCACCGGCACCACTGAGCTAAATGCCCAGCCCAATTCCTTTACTTCCTGAAGCCCTGTTCCCAAACACTTTTAAGTATTTGACTCTGAACCAGATTAGAGCACTGTACAGGTCTCCATCTATTAACTTTTAAGTAGTAATTGCTTATTCTAGCCATAACATTTACGCTTATCCTACATAAAAGCTTAAGCAGGCTATTGAAAACATTAGAACAAGACTGCTAGATGTTTCTTTGGACAGGTTCCTTGTCTTTATCTTGTATACCTCATGCCTAATATTTTTAAAAATCTTGGTAACTGAATGGACATTCAGAGCAGCAGTTTCCCCTTAGCCTTGGACATCAGTTCTTCTCCCACTTCAAAATCTGGCCTAATGAACTCTTAGTTTTGTTGGTCTTCTTACAATACTACAAACTAAGCTCAAATGTTCATTTACCTTAGCAATAAACTTTATGTATAAATCATTATGAATCACAATGAGATTCCACAGGTATATTTTATTAAACCCTTATAACAGCCATGAAAAGCCTGATCCCCCATCTCCTGGAAAGACAACACAGTAGTAATGCTTCATTTCAAAGTCCAGTATTCTCTGTATCGCATTAAAACACACACTATAGAGTTCAATATTGATTAGCAAGGGGAAAGGGGAGTGATAAATTTTTTTAAAGTTTTATAGTTTGGAAAATCATTTTCTACTCATTTATAAGTTTTCTTATTAACTTAAATTTTACTTCTCATGGTCTAAAACTCTGGTCAGTGCAAGCTTAGAAAGCAGCAGTTTGTACTAAGTAAATCAAGTAACTTACTCTCTTTGATCTTACTAGTCACTCAAAGATTCCCCTGCTTGCCAAAAAAGCCCAGTTTGTATTTCAATGGCAGCTTAGAGAATAAATCATGTTCATAGTATAAAATGGATTCTGGTAACAATAAGAAAGACTATGTAGATAAAAAGACAGAAAAGTAACATTTATTTGCTAGGGATGTAGCTCAGTGATAGAACACTTGCCTAGCATGATATATGCAGCTTTGGATTCAACCCCTGCTACACACACACACACACACACACACACACACAAGCACGCATGTGCGCATATACGGGCAGGGGTTGCAGAAGGGAGAGAGGGAGAGCAGGAGAGACAGACATTTATCAAGTGTCTATTATGTACTAGGCATTTTGACCATTTTTATGAAAATGAAGTGATAGGATCTTGAAAAGCTATTGGTTAGATCCATTTTTATAGATGAAAAAACTAAAGCTCAGAAGATTTCAGTGATTTGCCAAAGGTAGCGTAGTAAATAAATGAAGTCATGTTCATTTTTATTGTTCTGTTTATTTATTACACTAAAAAGAGTAACTAAAAAATGCCTCCTCAAGACTAAGAAATACCAAAAAGATGCACAGAAAACAGAAGGGTAATGGAAAAGAAAAATTAAGAATTATGTTTTAATAAGGCTCATTGCACTAATACAAGACTAAAGGCTGTGGGTAAACTAGAAGTAAAAGTTGAGTGTGCAGATGAGTAAAAGGAGTTTTGTTTTGTTCTCTCGAGGTAGGGTCTCGCTTTGTAATTTGGGCTGGCGCTAAACTCACTATGTAGCCCAGGCTGCCCTCAAACTCACAGCATCCTCCAGCCTCAGCCTCCCCAAGTGTTGGAATTACAGGTGTGTACCACCACACCCAGCTTAAAAGGAGTATTTTTTAAAGCCTGGGAAAAAAGCTTTTTTTCATAGAAAAAAAAGGTTTGAAATCATTAAGCTCTTTTACTTGTTTTAGCAATTCAATCAATGTTAACTTATGTCATTAGGTTGATCTTTATTATCTAATTTCTTCTCTCAGTGCACATTTAAGAGTGCCCACCATGTGCCAGACACTGTGCTAGACCCTAGTGATACAAAGTTTAGGAAGAACTCACACTGTTCATAGTCTCCTCTGGTAAAAGAAGAGACTAAACAATCCATTACAGCCTAGAATGAAGAGCACAGTGACAGATACAAAGCAGAAGGGGCAACAGAGAAGCACAGACAGACAATTCCTAAACCAGAATGGAAGGGTCAGTCAGGGCTTCCCACAGAAGGTGATGCCTAAGGCAAGTCATAATTATGTAAAACCTGTGACAATCAGAAAGCATGTTAGTTGCTATTCATGGGTCGATCTGGGGTCTGCCTGCTAACTTCCTACCTCTTTGCCAAGAGGTAAAACTCACAGGGCCCAGTGCACAAGGACATTGATTTGTGATGAATAAGCCTCAGGTAAAGAGGCAAAATGAGCCCAAGGAGAAAGCATCATTTAAGCCAAAATAATGATAAATACCATGAGAAAAATCACCATGGTGATAAGGGTCCCAAAGAGAAAAAACATTATCTTACATATATAATGTTGTAATGTATTCTTTCACATCCATTATATGATTTCATTACACTATCCAAAGTCCCCTGTGAGAGCCCTAAGAAGAGGATCTGATACTAGCATTAATTTTTTTTTCTATTTTACAGTTGAGAAAACTAAGGTTTGGAAAGGCTAAGATCAGCTCCCACATTAATAGCTATTAAGTGGCTAGTGTTCAAACATATTTTTAAACATATAACCCAGTAAAGTCTCTTTCAACTACAAAACTATAATACCCTCAGATCCCCACAGTCGTGGATTACAAGGCTTGTTAGGCCCTATAGAGAAAATGCTGTGTTAACTCTAGAGGAAATACGAAAAGAGGTTAAAAGGGGAGTGAGGGGAGGCAAAAAAAATACCATATAAACAAGAAAATATAATGAAAAGAAATGTAATGGGCTAACACTGGCAAATGTATAACCTTTACCCTCTGGCAAAAAAAAAAAAGATCGAACGGTGAATGATCATATCGATGGCAAAAATGACAACAGCACAGAAGATTAAATTACATCATCCAAACAGTGACCAGAAACACCATAATTACTCACGAGTGTGCACGAAGAATTGGAAACGGGTGTGTGATGAAGGCTGCAAGCTGAAGGACACAGGGAAAAACGAACGGAAGTGACTGGGGAAGGAGCAGGCATGAATGGATGCGCCTGATGGAGACAGATGGATGTCCCCAGGAGTGTGGGGGAGGAGAGGTAGGATGATGCAGGGTGGAAAAATAAATAAAATAGAAGCAAAAATGTAAAAGGGCAGAAACAAGGATAGGCTACTGCAGAGTAGAAGCGAAGCAAGAGAACAGGACGTCGGGAGACAGGTTAGCTAGATGACAACCCAGCGGTGGCAACTGCAGGAGCGGGCAGCACACTACCTAAGGAGACAAGCGTCATGCCCGACGGGCGCGCCTGTGCGGCGGTGCCTCGGGGTTAGTACCTGTAGCCGCGGTTGGAGGCCCGGGGTGGAATCCGGTAGACGCTGACGTCTGGCTTCACACACAGCACAGACTCGTACTCCATGGGCGGGGTTGTCAGCGCGACTACTTCCGCTACGCCACTTCCGCCCTCTTTGGCTTCGTTCCGGAGATTAACCTCTTCGGCGGCGCCTCTTTGGGGAGCCATATTGAAACCTGGAAACCTTGCGGCCGCATAGCTCGCCATCTTGGATAATGGCAAAAATACCCCACCAGTGGGCGGACTATACACAGTGGAAATCGCTCTGCTGGAGAGGTGCTGAGGGAAAGCGCCATCTTGCTTCCGGAGGCCGGTGCCCGGGAACTTCAAGAGAACCTGGGCCATCTTGAAAACTGGCAGAGTTCCTTCTTTTTAACCATAGTATCCTGTGGTACCCGGCAACCTGTGATCTCAAATTGGTTGCCCACAGGAGATGTATGGAGGAGCTTAACTCCTCCATAGAATAGAGACGTCCAAAATGCCCAGCCTGGTTTGTCTATCATCTCTTCTTGGGTTTTCCAGGATGGCACTTACTGAAACAGCGCACTTTCAACTTGTGTTCCTTTTTTTTTTTTTTTGAAAATTTAACCCTGGACGGGCGGGGACAATGGAATCAGCTCAATTCCCGACAAACTCGGGAAGCATAATGAACTATCTAAAGCCTGCATTTTCTCTGAGCTCTATAATTATAAATATAGGGAATTATCCAGAAGTATGTTTCTTGTACACTCAAGGCGTAAATTTACCACAACACTGACTTAAAATGATTTAATTAGCACTGATGGCAAGTGACAAAACCAAAATATGAACTCATTTTGGCTGACTGACAGTAGCAGCCTTCCTCACTTTATTATGTTGACTGGTTGAATTATATTCCTAGAGAACTGATATCTTAAAATTATAATATCTTGGTGCTTACTTCTGCAGCACATATAGTAAAATTATAATATTTTGGAATTATAATATTACTGTTACAGAGGTGGAGATTTGGTTACTCTCAAATATAACTGTATTGACAAAAATGTAAATTAGTACAGTACTTTGAAGAGAAATGTAGTAGAATTGATCAAAATAACCTTCAATTTAAAATTTTCACCAATAGGTACTTTAGAGAACACTATAGCACAAAAAAGTATGTACAATAATGACATGGCATTTTTGTAATCATAAAAAAATGGAAATAAGACCAATATCTATGAATAGGAAATAGTTAATGGCAAATCTATTACCATGTGATGATTTTCACTAAAGGTAGAGATAGTATGTGAATGCCACTGAGTCACAATTAAACAGCTAACTACAAAAAAAATATAGTATTATCAATATATGCCAAATCTCAAAAATTTTTGTGCATGTAAGCTCACTAAAAATGGTCTCAAAAGATACAGGGCTAAGGTGGGAAACACTATTCTTTTTCTACCCTATATAATCCACTTTTTAAGATTTTATGAAGATAATATATATATATATGTATATGTAACATATTTTCACCAAAAATGTTGAAAAGAGTCAAGAAAGGTGGTTTTTGATTCTGTGATCATATCTGAAGCCTAGGTCATGTGACTATACCACATTGTTTCCTTTTTTCTCCCCTTTATGTGTCAACATCATTTAGTTAGGACTCTGGTTCACTTTTTCACTGTTCCACCTTCTTCCTATGTCTCAGTTACTTCATCCCTGGCACACAATACTCAACACCCCCAAATTGAGGGAGAAGGCATTGTTATGGTTATAATGGTTCAGTGGCTTCAGTCTGTAGTCCACTGTGGCATGGCAGAAGAGAGACAGCTCATGGCGGGCAATGGGAAGCAGAGAGGGATCAAAGGAGAAGGAGGGGAACCCATGTCCTTTTTGTGTGTGTGTGGGACCAGGGATCGAACTCAGGACCTTGTGCTTGCCAGGCGCAGTGCCACTAAGCTAAATCTCTGACCCCATGTCCTTTAACTTCACCTCCCAATGGCACATTTAGCTAGAAATTCATCAGTGGAATAATCCACTGATGAGTATCACACACCCAAGGTCTGCTCACTTCCCAAAAGCCCCAAGTTTGGGGAAACTAGATACAAACCATAAAATCCTCTCTTTGTCGAATCTTGCTGTCACAGAGATTTGCAAGTTCGTGTAATTTGCCTTTACTCCATCTCACCTCCTTGCCCCTCACATGACTTTTTCATCACCCAAAATAGCTCCATTTCTGAAATCTTAGACTCTAACTTATCCCAGGCTGTTATCCTAACTTTGTCCACCACTAAAGTCCATTATTCCTGTTACTTATCATGATTTTGCAAACACATTATCCTCTTTATTCCTCCGTCTCAATCCTATTCTTTTCCTTATCCTTAAACCCCTTCCTTTTCTATCTCAGCCAACCCAAAAGGCTCTAGTCATATATAATGCAAACATCAGCCTCTATTATGCCCCAAGAACGAATCACACAGTTTTAGAGAGTAGTGTCTGTAGAATTTTATGGATTGGAGTCTCAGCTTTGCCAGTAACAGTTCCCAGTTAACAGTCCCTGGTCAGCAGGCTCCAGGCAGAAACGCCATAGAGGAAGGCTCTGGTCAGAAGAAAGCTGCCCGCATCGTGGTGGTCAGCAAACAAAGGGTAAGGGAGGAGCTGGGAAGGGAGATATTTGCCCTTCTGGATCATGCCCCAAGTGACCCACCTCTTCTGATCAGACCCCACCTCCTAACAGCAGCAAGTCAGCTATAAGTTCCGTAATCTGATCACTTTCCAAAAGCCCCACCTATGGGTGCATGAGACCCTTTGGGGACATATGGGTATAAACCATAATATTTCCTTCCATGTTCCAAACATTGCTGCTCTTCCCCACTTGTTCAACTTTAAGCTTTTTCCTCTTTCTTTGAGGGACAAACCACTTTATTATTTCCCTAAGAAAATGACGTACGTCTGAATTCTCTATTTGATGCCACCCTGTTCTTTGTCCCGTCTGGATCTTCCTTCACCTATTTTCCTACTCTGCACGTATGTGTGCCTAGATTCTCTACTTCCCAACCTATTCAGTGACCTGCCTTTATCCATGATCTCCTTTCTTTTCCATATTTTAAGCCTCCCATTTTTCATTCACCCCTGTCTCAGCATGTAGGCATATCCAAGTTCTTTCCATCTTAAAAAAGTCTCCCACTTTTCCCCCTTCTTCTTCATGTAAATTTAAATTCCCCTTGTCTCATTGTCTCAGTACAACTTTAAATTTCTTCTGTCTATCTCATCTTTTTACATAGATTTGAAGTTCTCTACCTTTCACAGCCAATTGCCTATTAAAAGTAGTCCATACTTCCTTTTGCAATTTGCTCATCTTTTTTTACTCTAACTTTACTACTCTCTCAACTTCTGCCTTTACTACCCTAAAATAGTCACCTCAGTGACCATCAAGCTGGCAAACTTAGTAGGACCATTTTGCTTATCATTTATAAAGTACATCTTTCATCATCTCTCTCCTGAACTGACACTCTTTGCCATTCACCATACCTCTGCTCTTGTCCTCATCCAATCTACCATATGCAAAGATTTGCATCAAATGACTCCTCTGCTCAGAATTCCTCCGTGTTTTCCCAAGACTCACAAGATAAAATTCAAACTACTGAGAGATAAATGAGTCTCTTCTTTATCCAGCTCTAGTTTGTTATAAAGTCCTGGCCTTGTTTAGCTTTATCTGTCTGACTTCCCAGCTTTTGCTTAAAATTAAATAATCTTCAACTGCTTCTGGTTCCCTGAAGGGTCCCTGCAATCACTAAACCTTCTGCCTGAATCACTTTGCTCTGCCTGTCAGTTTGGTAAACTTACACTTTCATGTCATCTGAAAATATACCTTTCCTGTAACTTTCCTACGTACTGTGGAAAATTTTTCTTCTAATGCTTCTATTATGTCACTTCTATTATGATCAATCTTTTGGTACATTATGTTTTACTGTGTTTCAAACACCTCCTGCTAAAGTATAATCTTCACAGAGACAGGAAGTGTGCCCTTTTTTTTCACCTTATGTGTTGCTGTGTTTTAAACACCGCCTATTAAATAAAGGATGAGCTCCTAAGAGCTAGGAAATGTGCTTTTTCATCTGTATTTTCCAACACCCAGTGCAACACTCTTCACATGGTAGGCATCCAATAATATTTTTAATAATACATATAGATTTAAGTCTAATCATCTAACATTAATAACATTAATTTGGCTATGTATTAGAGGAATTGAATTTATAACTTAGAACCCTTTTACAAGAAAACTCCAGATCCACATAGCATCAGCAAAGATCAAACATTTTAGGAAAAAAAATGACATAGGTCCTTATATGAACACTGTGGGAAAACAGAAGAAAAAAAACTTTCCAACTAATTCTTATGAGACAGTCATTAGTTGGATATCAAAACCAGACAAAGCTATGTCAAGAAAAGTACATATAACTATTCCTTGAGAGCAAAAAATTCTTAACAAAATACCAAAAATCAAATCCAACAATATGTAAGAAGGACATAATACATCATGACCAATTAGGGTTTACCAAAAAATTTAAGGTTAGCATTTGAAAATCATGCCAGATGGGTGGTGCATGTCTGTAATCCCAGCACTAAGGAGGCTGAAGCAAGAGGATTTCAATGAGTTCAAGGCCAGCCTGGGATATATAGTGAATTCAAGGCCAGCCTGGACTGCATAACAAAACTCTGATCCCTAATAATAATAAATCAAAAATCAGCAAATAGTGCTAAAAGTATAGATCAGTGAAAACAGCATTTTCCCTAATCTCTGAGGCCCTGGGTTCAATACCTAACACACACACACACACACAAAATCAACAAATGTAAGACAATATATTAATAGAATAAAGAAAAAGCACATAATAATCTCCAAATAAGCAGAAAAAAAGTACACTATCTTCCTTGGAGTTACAGTGTCCTCTCTAGTTCAACTGATCATATTGCCACAATTTTTCAGCTATACTTTTTTGTTTTGTTTTGTTTTGTTTGTTTTCTTGAGACAGGGTCTCACTATGTAGTGAGACTGACCTGGAACTCACTATGTAGCCCAGGCTGGTCTCGAACTCACAGCGATCCTCCTGCCTCAGCCTCCTGAGTGCTGGGATTACAGGAATGAGCCACCACACCCAGCCAGCTATACCTTCTTACTTCTGCTGGACATATTTGCAGGTTGCAATGTGTTCTTTTGGGCCAGGAATTTAGCTCAATGGTGCTGCCATCTGCCTCACAAGTGCAAGGTCCCAAGTTCAATCCCCAGTACCAAAAAAAAAAAAAAAAAAAAAAAAAAAAAAAAAAAAAAAAAAAAAAAACAGAAAAGAAAAGAAAAAGAAATGTCCTCTTTTATTCTTTGGTAAGAGACATTGAATTCTAATATAAATGTTTGTCTGTGAGTCTTCCTCAACTTTCATAAAGAAACTAATAACCACCTCTGTGATCCCACAACATTTTTAGACCTGTTTCAGCTCTCATGGCATTGCAGTCATCTCTTTATTGGCAACCCTATTTTCCAGGGCAAGAAACATCTATTTTCCTCACCTCTAGCAGTTTTCAGAATATTGTTAGAACTCTGTGCATTTTCTGTGGCTGTTGTTAAATAAATGATCATTTTAGCCTGATTGATGGAATTGTTCTTTCTCCACGCAGACATTTGAAAATGTCTTGACTGGAATCCACCAGCAGAGGGCAGTGGCCACGCGATTCACAGATTCCAGGCTGGAGACTGGATAATTACTACAGATCAGGCTAGCCTCTGATTTGTGCCTTGCCAAATATTCGTGATTCGACCAAGTTCAACAAAACCACTTTTGGTGGAAATGATGGAGGCCTCCCTCATCTCAAAGCTTGATCCGTTTCACATGTAATTTAGACACGAAAATACATAGTGTTCTCGGCCTCTCCCGGCTAATAACACTTTCCAGCTCTCTCTCTCTTCTTTTCCCATGCACGGAAAGTCATTTCTCACAAGTTTTTTAAGTCCCCACTTGCCTTTGCTCAAGACACAGTATCAGGAGCATCTGTTAACGCATAATTTTTCTAAATCTTGAAGTCGCTGCACATGCGGTGATAATGAAAAGTGCAATGAGGTTGCAGTCGTAGTTTACAGGTTTTTCTTAACTAGAACGGTCATCAGTGTGCATTTTACAGGCAAGAGACTCGAGTCCTGGACGTCAGTGGTTCGGGCAGGTGGGGCTGGTGAGTAGAAGTGCGGGACTGGATTTCCAAAGGTCCCTCCTGCTGCGCCGCCCCACCTATTCCGAGAAGCGCCTGAGTCCTGCTCCAGAGAGCCACACAGGCCGGGCACGCTGGCGCACGCCTGTCTCCCAGCCCTTGGGGCCTGAGGTCGGAGGAGCCAGAGCAAGCCCAGCCTGAGCAACTTAAAGACTTAGCAAGACTCTGTCTCAAAATAAAACATTAAAGGCGGGCTGGGGCTGCAGCTCTGTGCAAAAGGCTCTGGGTTCAATCCTCAGTAGCCCTCCCCAAAGACTAGATGTGTAGTTTTGCGTAAACGTTTTTTTTTTCATTTAACATAAGTCACAAAGAGTTTGTCCCAAGTATGCAAAACTAGATAAAATATTTATTGTGGTATTTTTGTAATAAAAATTGAAATAGTCAAGCCGGGCAAGGTGGCACACGCTTGTGATCCCAGCACCCAGGAGGCGAAGGCAGGAGTATCTCTGTGAGTTTGAGGCTAACCTGGGCTCCATAGTCTAAGGAACTGCATAGTGAAACCCTGTCTCAAAAGTAAGAAATAAAATTTTAAAAAGAGAGATTAGAGGTTAATTTTATATATGTTAATATGAAAATGTTAATAAAATGCAAGATATAGAACAAAAAGTATAACGTGTCATTTATATTTTTTAAATTAGCCTTTCTGAAAAAAAAAAAAAAAGCCACACTGATGGGGGATTGAGCTCATTGGTATCACTGCCTGCCTCAGAAGTGCTAAGTCCTGAGCTCGATCCCTGGTACCAAAAATAAGAAGAAGAAAATAAATAATGAAGATATTACCTGACAAATTACTTAATGATATGTGTGCTGCAGGTTTTTTGTTTGTTTTTCTGTCCTGGGTCATGAACCCAGAATCTTAACATTGAGCTACATCCCCGGCCCTTTTTCATTTTTCATTTGGAGATGAGGTCTTCCTAAATTGCTCAGGTTGGCAATTCTCCTGCCTTAGCCTCCTCAGCTGAGATTACAAAGTGTGGGCCACCACACCTGGCAAGTTGTAGAATTTTTTTATATTGTTCAGAATAAGTTCTATGCAATATTCAAAAGTCCACAGCACACTACATATTTAAATGCATATAGAAAAATTGGGAGAAGATGCACACCAAACATATGATAGCAGTCACCTCCTGGGAAATAGATATGGGAGAGAAAGCATTTTAACATTTTTATACATGCTTGCATTTGATTTTTACAAAGAACATGAATTGGTTTTGTAACTCAAAACAATGAACATTTTTAAAGTTGAAAATATGATACTTTCTCTTTATCTTACCATGTTTTTTGTTTTGTTCTAGTCCTGGGATTGAACTCAGGGCCTTCACACTGATCTACATCTCCAACTCTTTCTTTTTCTTTTAAGTTTAAATCAGTAAATTGCCGGGCCTGGGCCCTAACCTGCAATCTTCCTGTCACAGCCTCCCAAAGTGCAGGATTACAGGCTTGCACCACCAGGCCCAGCTCATACACGATTTCATAATGTCTGCGTCAAATGATAATAGGCACTGACCTACACGTAACCGTCCCATCTCCTCTGTAGCTGCTGTGTCAGGTTAAACAAGCCCCGCTTGTAAACGTTGCAGCCTGGGAATCGGAGGGGTAATAAAGTCTATCTTTGATTTATTTGCTGCTGCATCCTGAATGCCTACAATAGTGCCTGGCACGCATTAAGTGCTTAATCGGTGTTTATAGTGTGAGTGATGATGATGACCTAAAGGGGAAAAAAATGCGGTCCCAGCACAGTAGAACTGAGGCTCAAAGCCACGTTTAACATTTTCAGAGAAAACAATATCAAAGAAAAGAAAAGGATGCGTCTCACTCAGAGGCGCCCTCTCCATGTTTCCAATGAGAATTTTTGAGTTAGAATTCTGTTGCTTTTTTTTTTTTTTTTTAATACCGGGGATCAAACTCGGGTCCTTGCGCTTGCGAGGCAGGCGGCGCCGCCACTGAGCTAAATCCCCAGCCCAGAAATTGTGTTTCTTGATGACTTGGGGAAATTCTCTGTTTCCTCCTCGGTGTTCAAGCAGTAACAGCTAGAGAAGGTGCGCGGCAGTGGCTCGCCCTTGGAGAATCTGCACTCCATAGGTAACGAGGGTGTGAGGCGTTGGCAGGTGCTGGATGTACTTGGAAGGGTCCTGCACTAAAACTAACAAGTCTGCCTTTCTCCCCAACTCCACTGTTCCCTATTCCGCCATCAAACAAAAATCCAGAAGGAGCAGAAGGAATTTCTACTCCTGGTTAGAGTTTGAGCCTACGGGTGACTCATTAAGGAAATATTTGACTTCCAGATCGATGCGCTTATTCCACGAAAGGTCAGAGAGGACATTCCTCGTACCCGACGTGGTCACAAATGTTTGTCCCAACCCACTGCTAACAACGGTGTGAGCAAGAGGAAACGGTGGGACTTGGGCAGCGCCTGGTACGGTTAAATACACTCAAACCTAGTCACGCAGGGATTCCCCACCGAGGTAAGCGATTCCTGCAACCACGCCCTCAGAAAAATGTTAGAGGATTCAACCACAAGACTGAGGCTGTGATGGCTGCAGGGCTGTCAGTTTGAGTAGCAAATGCCCCGCGCCACTGGATCAGCGTAGTTCTGGTCCTGGCCCCCGGCTTCACGGAAGACAGAAGCCCCACCCTGGGGCGGGCTGAACCTGTGTCTCCGGAGAGGCTCCAGTCTTCACCTCTGCCTTGGGAGTCGTGTCCTGACTTCCAGCAAGGACCCAGCAGCCTTTCATGGCGGTCCCTTTGGCCTCCTGATGTGGACTCAGGTGGAACATAACGGCGAGCACCGGGCCTTCGACCGAATCCCTCAGCTCCCAACACAGAAAGCCCTTTCACCCTCTTCCGTGCCTGACTGTGGGTGGCCACGGTAAGCCAATCTTAGAAATTATTATATATTGGTATATCTTGCATTAAATCTGTTTCTCCAGTAAGCACTGACTAATACTTTTATCTTTTTTTTTTTTCTTGGTAGTATCGGGGATCAAACTCAGGACCTTGTGCTTGCAGGGCAGGTGTGGTGCTGCTGAGCTAAATCCCTGGCCCACTTTTATCATTTATAATAACAAGACACTGCAAAGAAGGCAAAATTTCACTAAATAAATCATGGTACATTCATTATGTAATAGGGTAGTATAATTAATGAACATGAATGAAAAATCGGCTATGTGTATCAAGAGGGTAGATGACAAAAACACAGCGTTCAGGGGAAGAAAAAAAAATTGACCCAGCCACATGTGATAGACTCACACCTGTAACCCCAGCATACTGGGAGGCTGAAAGAAAAGGAACCCGAGTTTAAACCCAGCCCAGGCAACTTAGTGACTTAGCGACATCCTGTCTCAAAACAAAAGATTTTTTAAAAAGCTCTGGTGTGGGAGTAGCTCAATGGAAACCGCACATCCAATCCCCAAAAAAATGCCTTCACATAATGTTCAAAAGCAGACACATCTAAAATTGTATAGTTGGGGCACTTGCCACCAATCTGGTTCCTGAATGGCTGTTTTTGGTCAAACTACGCTGGTTCCCAGCTGAGGCCTCTTCCAGTCAGTTGTGTCCCTGCCTGGCCTGCCACAGATGTGGGCTCCCTACTGCTCCCTACTGACCAAGGCCCAGGCTTTTTGTTCCATTCAGGCAGCAAGCCTGTCATCAGCAGGTATCGCTCACACCCGGGAGGGGGGCTTCTGTCTTAAGTGAATCCTCTCAGCCACACCCAGAACTGCGCAGATTCAGTTCAGTTGGGCATTTCTCACTCCACTTGATGCAGTCAGTTAGCCAGGGAGGGACCTCTAGTCCACAGGAAGGGACAGACCACTGCTGCCTTCACACTTGTCAACTTGGAAGACAAAGATCTCTGGCTGCTGGGTAGAAGCTATCAGGACCAACTACAACGACAGAGACGATATCTGCTGTCCCTGGGGAAGCAATGTCCTGGGTCTAAAATCTGTGTCTCACATTGCCACGCTAGAAAAAGCAAAGGCTGAAGAACTTGCCACCGAACAGCTAAATGTACTCTTGAGTTTTCTGTACATAAAAATAATACCTAAGTTGCCCTTACTCCCCACAAAATTGTGTAGTTTGGGAAACATAGGTAGATGATAAAACTATTTTTAGAATGCAAAGAAGGGATGCACACAGGATTCACAGTTGTGATTACTTAGTGGGGAAATATGGAGGATGAAAATCAAAGAGCATATTTGACAGAAACAAGAAGCATTCTCCTTCTGAAACGGTACTGATCTGATGGCGGTGATCCAGTTGTTATCTAATGGCCCAAAGGCTCATTGTGTTGAGGCTTGGCTGCCAGCTGATGGATTTTTGGAAGGTGACTGGGTCATGAGGACTCTAACATTATCAGTGCGTTAATCCATTCTCTAGTTCATGGCACACTGGAGTTATGGGAAGGTGGAGTCATCAGATGGGGTGAGGCACCGGAGACGTGTCTTTGAAGGGAATAGTCTGGCCCTGGGACCTTCCTGGCTTCCTGCTTTGTAATCCTGTTTCCTGGCAGCAATGAGGTGAGCAGTTTTCCTCTACCTTGTCCTTCCATCATGATGTTCTGCTTCATCTCCAGCCCAATGCAATGGAACCGGCTGACCATGGACTAAAACCTCTGAAAATATGAGCCAAAATAAACCTTCCTGCTTTTTAAGTTGTTATTGTCAGGTGTTTTACCACAGCAACAGAAAGCTGACTAATGCAGAAAATATTATTATTTTCAGAAGATATTTAATTATATATACTCTTCCAAATGCATGATATACCACAGAATGCAGTTTGCAAAGGGATATGATGAAGCTGCTAGGTTATCTGGTTTTGATCTCAATAATCAACATTCTGAATAATGATGATGATCATGTTAGCTAATATTTACATTGCACCCCATATGAACAAAAAATGTTTTCACATATACTTTCACCTTTATTTCCCACAACATTCTTGCCTACTAAGTATTACTATTCCCATTTTAATTTTTGTTAATTCTAAGAAAGGTCAATAACTTGCTCAGCAAATATGTGAGAGTCAGGAAAGGAAACCCTTAGATCTCTGATACCAAGACATCAGCTATTTATCACTAATTTTTTAAATATTTGCGTACATTATTAGTATTCCTGTCCCTACAGTTGAATTATAGTGATGACTGACAATTACTAAGTACTGAGTTGTGTTCTACATGCTTAGGTGAATTATATCATTAACTCTCTCATGAGGTTATGTGCTACTATTTTTATTATGCCAATTTTGCAGATCAAGAAACTAATACACTGTGATTAATTTGTCAACAGTCACAAGTGGCAGACATAGATCTAATCACAGTGGTACCTCAGTTCATGAACGCTTTTGTTTGCAAACCATTTGGTTCACAAACAGAAGCCTATCACAAACTTTTGTTTCTGTTTGCAAACTGCGTCAAGTGACACTGAGCTATATCCTCAGCCCTTTTTTATTTTGTGACAAAATCTCACTAAGTCATTAGCCTCCTAAATTGCCCAGGCTGGGCTCAAATTTGCAACCTTCTTGCCTCAGCCTGCCATTGAGTTGGGATTTTCAGCATGCACCACCATGCCCAGCTTTACCATACTTTAAATAGACTCCAAGCATTGTCCCAAGGTAGTGTCTAGTGTCCCTGAGTGGTGATGTACCTCACAGAGAAATCCATCTATGAGATACACTTCAGTCAACTGTGACTCCTAATGCTATTTTAAGCAAGGCAAACATTAATGGCTCAGCAGACCTTAGGTAAGGCATCTTTAAACAGAAGCACAGATGATACAAAGTTAGATATTGTTTGACAAAAATACGGTGGCCAGAGGCTCAAAGGAACCTGACTGTGATATTTCCCTGGGTGCAATAGTTCCGCATTGGCCAACTCATCAACCCCAGTGTAGAACGTAATCCCCTAGAGCAGCAAGAGAACTGGCTGTGATGCTGGGGATTTAGCTCAGTGGCACACTCCTGCCCCAAAAGTTCAAGGCCCTGAGTTCGATGATCCTGATACAGAGAGAGAGAGAGAGAGAGAGAGAGAGAGAGAGAGAGAGACCGTGCACAAACTTAAGCTGCAGAACCCAGGGCAGCGATGCCCCTGGCTCTTCCCTCTCCGGTCTCTCCGGGCACCACCTGCTCTGACCCCAGAGATCGGCCAGGTCCAGGAAAGGTACCAGGTTTCTACCAGAGAGAGAAGGGAGAAGGGAGGATCAGGATGAGCCTGAGGGTCAATATCCGACACGACTCTCGTTCTGCAGGTGAGGAAATAATTTCCGGATAGTCACACAATGAGCAAGCACCCAAACCCGGTTTGCCACCTGCCTTCGCCCACCGCTCAGAGCAGCCTTCCCTCAACACCAGCCTGAAAGTTGCCTCTGCTGACTCAGCCCTCGGGTCACCCTGGACTTCTCAGCCACCTTTCCCTGCCCAGTGTCAGAATGACAGGCTGTGAGGCACAGAGCGAACTTCAGGATGGTCCAGCCCAGCTCTTTAAGCAGAATGAACATTTCTGGGTCGTCACTCAGCCCAAGGTCAAATAGTTATTCCTAAAAGTGGAAGTCCGATCCGTGTCCGAATTCCTGGTGTACTGTTCTTTTCTTCTGTGCCATTTTTTCAGCTAATTTTCATCATTTTCAGTCTTGCCCTTCGCTGGTGGTCTGCAGCATTCGTCTGAGTCGTCCAGCTTTTTGTACTTAGTTGTCTTACTTTTCTCATTGCTGAAACAAAATACCCAACACCCAGAGTTAAAGGGGGAAAGGTTTACTTAGCTCGGTTTGTAGAGGCTCCATCCATAATCAGCTGGCTCCATGGCAGGGCGACAAGGCAGACGGGCATCGCAGAGGAGAAAGAGTTCATGGTGGGCAGAAGGCCACAAAGCAGCAAGGGAGGTTCACTGCTCTGTCTGCCCCTTGTACTCATCCAGGCTCCTTAGGGCAGGCAGCACTCACACCCTGAATCCTAGTGCCTTTGATCCTAGCACTGCACCATGAATCGGTTCTAGCTTCACACACTCTAGATTCAGCTACTTCTGCAGAAGCCCACCTATGACTGCATTCAGCTTTGGAGGGTCATCTAGACACAGCCATAACAGTTATGTTGATGTTGTTGTTGTTGTTGTTGTTATTGTTTGAGATGGGGGTCTATGTAGTTCAGGCTGACCTTGAACTCACTATGTAGCCCAAGCTGGCCTCAAACTTGCAGAGATCCTCCTGTTTCAGCCTCCTGAATGCTGGGATCACAGGCATACACCACCACACCTAACTTGTTATATTGAAGTTAAGAGTGTGGATTATTTCATGCACATTTAATCCTTTTGTATGAAGTCCTTAAGGACAGTAACTTTATCAATATTTATTTTTAATTCTTTCAGACAAAACAGCCTAGAGGTACTGATTCTAAATTTTTTACTTTTTTATTCAATTATTTCATACAGATCTTTATCATTGACAGTGTTGAACTGACCAGTGACTCATAAACGGTTTTAATATGGCTGTCTTCAGGGCTGGGGATTTAGCTCAGTGGCACCACACCTGCCTTGCAAGGTCCTGAGTTCAATCCTAGGTACCCAGTACTGGAAAAAAAAATACATACATAAGGCTGTGTTTAAAATATTTATTCCATCTGAGACATTCCCCACTGGCCCTGACCAAGTGCCAGTGAGCACATACAGTTGCTTTCTGACCATCAACCTTGAGCCTGACATGGAAGCTCTGCTGTCCCAGGGGCGTGGCCCACATAGGTCTCGCCTCCTGTCCTGGCCTGGCAGGTGCCAGCTGCTCTACTGGGGGTTTGCCTGTGACAGAGTTCCCTCTCAACCTATGTGCAGGAACATCTGATATCCAGGAAACACCAAGATGGGCACTGGTCCTGTCCACTCTGCCTCCT